ATATATATATATGAAGCCATGAAACAGGCCTGGACAGAAATGATGGTACCCCTGAAAATAATGTGACCAAAGCTTCAAGTTAAACCAAGGTGTGTCCACTAATTATCATCACAGGTGTCTACAATCTTGTAATCAGTCAGTTGGCCTGTATATAGGGCCACAGATACTCACTGTGCATTTTGGTGACATAATGTGGACCACACTCAACATGGACCAGAGGAAGCCAAGGAAAGAGCTGTCTCAGTAGATTAGAAAGAAAATTATAGACAAGCATGTTAAAGGTAAAGGTTATAAGATCATCTCTTAGCAGCTTGATGTTCCTGTGACTACAGCTGCACAATTTATTCAGAAGTTTATGATCCATGGGACTGTAGCCAACCTCCCTGGACATGGATGTTGGAGGAAAATTCAAAGATACAGGTACTATAAAAGATAACAAAAGAGCCCAGAAAAACTTCTAAAGAGATTAAAGGTGAACATCAAGCTCAAGGAACATCAGTGTCAGATTGCACCATCATCATCATCATCATCAAATCATAAAAAAGCCAGACTGCAATTTGCCAAACTACATGTTGAMAAGCCACAAAGCTTCTAGGAGAATGTCCTTTGGACAGATGAAACAAAAAWTTAACTTTTTGGCAAGACACATTAGCTCTTTGTTCACAGAGAGAAAATGGAAGCATTTGGAGAAAAGAACACTGTCCTACTGTGAAACATGGAGGTCTGTTATGTTCTGGGACTGCTTGGCTGCATCTGACACGGTGCGTCCTGAAAAGACTCAAGACTATCAAGGCATAGAGAAATATGCTGCCCAGTGTCAGAAAGCTTGGTTTTAGTCACAGCTCATGGGTCTTACAACAGGATAATGACCCAAAACACAACTAAAAACACCCAAGAATGGCTATGATAACACTAGACTGTTCTGATCCTGACCTAAATCTTATTGAGAATCTTTGGAAAGAGCTGAAACATGTCTGGAAAAGGCATCATTCAAACCTGAGACAACAGCAGTTTGCTCATGAGGAGAAGACCAACTGCTGAGAGCTGCAGAAGTCTGACAGGTTCAGGCAGCGATCGCCTGAAAAGGTTGTGCAACAAAATGTTATATTAAGGGTTACAATCATTTCTGTCCAGGCCTGTTTCAGGACTTCTATTTTTAAAGACATTCTGTTGAAGTATGGCTGAAAAGCAATGTCTGACTTTCATTTGTTCATTTTTATTCATTATTACTTTTGTCAGATTCTAGTTTTTTTTCTGTGACCACTGTGTGTTTTTCTTCATAAATGAGGGGTTATCAAAATTTTGCCCCAAGTGTGTACGTCACACCACAACCTTTAGGTCAGCATTTTGGAATGAGGTCCTCTGATGTTAAAAATAACAAAACTATTTTCAACACACCTTGACAGTAAGGTTATGATGCTGTGAGATGTCAGAGATTCTCAGCTACTGCATCAAATTTGAGYTCCACATTAAATCTGCCTGGGTCATTGTTGTGTTGGCTATTGCTGATTGGCTTGGCAGCCATCCTTAATCAAACAGCAAAATTYAATCAGTCGTGGCTAAAATCCATTCATCAGAAGCTTTGCGAGCAGTTTGACTCAGTTAAAACTAGTTTTAGGCAAAGATCTTGCTCAGCTGATAAATACAGCAGGTAAAATAAGCATTGAACACGTCAGCATTTTTCTCAGTAAATACATTACTAGAGGTGCTAATGACATGAAATTTCCACC